AGACTGGCTCATTGACACGTTATTTATTATGTAAATGAAATTAGATAATGATGAAAATAATATGATATTCAAACATGGCACAATCACTTAAATGTTGATTTTATTTTTTTAAAGCTTGGCTAAGTGATTACTTAATTTAAAATATAATCTGCATTTTATGTTTATAATATTTACAATATATATACAAACACTAGCAAGCAAAGAGTCAAAAAGTTCATTTGCAATCCTTTGTCTAGACGAATAGCCAGGTGGGAAATAACATACACAAGTTCGAGAATTAATCTACAAACGCTAACCATAAAATACATTTTAATAATAATATTTATACGTTTCTATTGACTTGTTTTAAATAATTAACAATAAGCTATTTATAGTCAATAACAATACAAAAAGCAAATAGGGTAAAGTTTTATGTTCCAGGAAACATTGACCTATGGTGGATGTTTTGTACCATTCGTGTTTTCGCCCTGCGACCCCGCCAAGCGAAAAGTCGAAAATTAACAAGTTAATATGGCGGGGTCGCGCAGCGAAAACACGCTAATAAGCGAGGGCGTGGGGCACAGTTAAATAAATAAAACTTCGTCCCGCGGGGGAGCGGAGCGAGATTTAAACAAGAATGTCGAACGACACATATACCCCCCTTTCTAGCCATTGACTCACATAATTGGTAATTTTATTACAGAAACTTGCCAAAAATGGGTACATGGAAGTGTTCAATTATGGAAAAATCAACGGAAACCATTTTGACATTTAAGGCCCATGTGACATTGACCTTTGACCTAATGACCCCTAAATCAATAGAGGTCATCTACTACTTATGACCAATAACTAGGTGAAATATGAAGACTTTGTGATGAATACTTTTCAAGATAATCAGCGGAAACCCTTTTGACATTTAAGGCCCCTGTGACCTTGACCTTTGACCTAGTGACCCCAAAATCAATAGGGGTCATCTACTAGTAATGACCAATCACTATGTGAAATATAAAGACTTTGTGATGAATACTTTTCAAGATAATCAGGGAAACCCTTTTGACATTTTAAGGTCCCTGTGACCTTGACATTTGACATAGTGACCCCAAAATCAATAGGGGTCATCTACTAGTGATGACCAATCACTATTTGAAATATGAAGACTTTGTGATACATACTTTTCAAGATAATCAGCAGAAACCATTTTGACATTTAAGGCCCCTGTGACCTTGACCTTTGACCTAGTGACCCCAAAATCAATAGGGGTCATCTACTAGTTATGACCAATCACTGTGTGATATATGAAGACTTTGTGATACATACTTTTCAAGACAATCAGCGGAAACCATTTTGACATTAAAAGTTCCTGTGACCTTGACCTTTGATCTAGTGACCCCAAAATCAATAGGAGTCATCTACTAGTGATGACCAATCACTATGTGAAATATGAAGACTTTGTGATAAATACTTATCAAGATAATCAGCGGAAACCATTTTGACATTTTAAGGTTCCTGTGACCTTGATCTAGTGACCCCAAATCAATAGGGGTCATCTACTAGTGATGACCAATCACTATGTGAAATATGAAGACTTTGTGATACATACTTTTCAAGATAATCAGCGGAAACCATTTTGACATTTAAGGCCCCTGTTGACCTTGACCTTTGACCTAGTGACCCTAAAATCAATAGGGTCATCTACTAGTGATGACCAATCACTATGTGAAATATGAAGACTTGTGATACATACTTTTCAAAGATAATCAGCGGAAACCATTTTGACATTTAAGGCCCTGTGACCTTGACCTTGACCTAGTGACCCCAAAAATCAATAGGGGTCATGTACTGGTGATGACCAATCACTATGTGAAATATGAAGACTTTGTTATACATTCTTTTCAAGATAATCAGCGGAAATCATTTTGACATTTAAGGCCCCTGTGACGTTGACCTTTGACCTAGTAACCCCAAAATCAATAGGGGTCATCTACTAGTTATGGCCAATCACTATGTGAAATATGAAGAATTTGTGATAAAAACTTTTCAAGATAATCAGCGGAAACCATGTGGTCTACCGACAGACAGACAGACAGACCGACATTAGCAAAACAATATACCCCCTCTTCTTCGAAGGGGAAAAAAATAAAACGGCGGGGTCGCTGGACGAAAACACACTAATTAGCGGGGTCGCGGGGCAAAATTGAATAAATAAAACTTAGCTGCGCTAATTATCGTGTCTTCGTCCCTCGACTCCGCCAAGCGAAAGGTCGATTATAAACATGTTAAAAATGGCGTGGTTGCGCAGCGAAAATACGCTAATTAGGGAGGGCACGGGGCGAAGTTTAATAAATCAAATTTCGCCCCGCGTGAGCGTGGAGCGAGATTTCAGAAATAAAACGGCGGGGTCTCGGGACGAAAACAGGCTAATTAGCGATAATTAACAAGTTAAAATTGCGGGGCGCGGAACTAAAACACGTTAACTAGCTTGGACGCTAATAAGCGTGGTTTTGCTCCGGCGCCCGCCGTTTCATTTCTTATATCTCGCCCCGCGCCCCGTCTGGCGAGAAATTAAACTTCGCCCGCGCCGTCGCTAATTAGCGTATTTTCGCTGCGCACCTCCGCAATTTTAACTTGTTAATAAACGACTTTTCACTTGGCGGGGTCGCGGGGCGAAAACACGAATGGCACAAATCAGCCACCATATTGACCCGACTCTTGGGAGATATTGCAGTCTATATAACGGAACAACTGCATGCAATGCATCAATAATTATCTTTATGATGGAACGTTGTTTAGGTTACCTGCTCTCGTTTACAAATTATTTACTGACTTTACTATAATACTAACGGTATAGTTATTATCCATGTTGACACCTATATCACAATATTCTATCCATTTAAAGCATGACATGTAAACCTTACCTCAATATGTAATCGCTAACATAAAACCATAGAATAATCAGATTTTCAAATGTCCACGTTTTATTTAACTCAATTGATGAAACAGGATTTGCATCGCCTTTACATCTTTACATGATATGTTATAGGCACATTTTGCCTCAGCAATGTATAATATTCACCTTCTGTGAAAGGGCAAATATGTGTAAATAATGAAATAAGAAACTGTGAGAAGAATCATAGTTTATATATAAAATAATCGATGTGTTATTGTTCGTGAAAGAATACACTGCGTGAAGGACCTTGGCGTTTACAACTTCAAATTCGAATAATGATCAGACTTTTTCCCGCAATGTGTACTATTTGCCCCTAAATCTGAAGCATATCAAATTCAAATATGATATTCAAGTATGAACAAGACAAAATAATTATAAACTAACACGATTTTGATTTTGTATATCGATTTGATATGAAATTTTGGGACTATGGAAGTGAAAAGGCTGTGTGATGTGGATTTTATGTGGGCCTTTTTGACTCTTGAAATGTTAATGAGGCTGGATTGATAAGACTTGATCCATTAATAATTTCCGTCGGAACATCAAGTTGTACAAATGCTAAAGGTGCATTGGTTATATTTTTTAATTGTAAAATAAACATTTTTATATAAAACACGTAGTATCTTCTTTCTATATCACATGCATGCAAAATTTAAACAATCTTTACCGTATGGAAATCGAGTTATGGCCACTTTTCTGAATTGAAGCTAGGGTGTTCAAAGGGCTTTTTTCAGAAATGAGGAACCTTTAAATAATCTACAATATCATCCTTAGGTCAATTATTGTTTGCTAAGAAACTAAAATAACAATTCAACTAACAACAGCATATAAGCGAAACGATTGTTTATAAAAAAATATAAAAAAAGAACAAAACAAAAAAATAGGTATAAAAATGTTACCAATCCCATGTTAACACCTGTTTGACAATTTGCCTGCTTAGAGAACTAAATAAAAAAAATCCCTAAAATTTACCAAAAGGAGTGCCGGTTTTCAAGTCGCCCTAAATGTTTTTCAAATGTATACTAGTCTTGGTTAATCTGGTAAAATATTAAATGTTTTACCGTGGTTTTGATTTTAATACAGATGAAAATATCAGGTACCATATTCTCATTTTAGCCAGTATATACCTTAATTTATAAGAAACTGTAATTAAAAATAAAACACTTTTTTTCTTCCCAAAAGGAATATTAGAATAAATATGAATAATATTAAAAGAAAAAAAATGTTCACCCTTCTGGGGTTGAACCTACGGCCCTTAATGTAGTTGGCAGTAGTTCTAGCCTATTTAAATACTCTTCAATGCGGAGGTAATGCATTAGGATGGTCATTCCTTAAATCAATGGAAAGTTGCATTGATTGACACCGACAAAAATTAGTAAAATTGAAGAGTGAAACACAAAACATAAATTCAACATAGCAGCGGGTCTTTATTCTATTCTTGTTTGTTTTATTTTACGCCTTCTTCCAACAGTATTTCAGTCATATAGGCGGGTAGTTTCCTAACCATCGTTCCTAGACTAGACTACCTTCCTCCGTGCTAAACTACCAAAGCATATTCTGGGGATCGAACCCTTGCAAGAGAGGTAACTGGGTTAGAAGTCATCGAACTCTAACCCCTCGACCACGGAGGCGGTCTTATTCTATTCTAAATTCTAAATACTTATTTTGTCATCTCTGGAATTCGGTCAATCAGATCACCGCAACTCTTATTAATAATAATCTCGAACTTAATATATATTAAAGTAGTTCTACCACGTTGTTTTAGATGTAACAAAAAAAAACAAAAAAAAACAACAAAAAAACAACAACATTACATTCAATACAATGGGAAATGAGGTTTATATTGGTAAAAGTATTGATTAAAAAAACGTATAACAACCGTAATCAAGTTAAAAGTACCACTGATATACAATAATAACCAAAGTCAGGTATACATTCTGTACAGTCGCTTTCTACAACCATAACAATAAGTATATATACATAACGTACCGTATATATTTAATTACTAAAGGTGAACCTTTTCTCGATATGTTCGAATAAACTTCAAGTCAACAACTCTAAGCATTAAATCATAATTTATTTACATGTTTCTTAGACCGAAGTACCGCGTAAGTTATGTGTACTCTTATTACTGTGTTCAACTTCCTACCGAAATTGGACGGAAAGGGCTGAAAGAATTCCGTTGGAATTCGGTATGCAAGCGTATTTTCACAATATTTCTACCTATTTGCATTCAGCGGTGTTATTTAGATATTATCCAAACGTATGTTAGTGAATGTTAGTGATATGAAAATAATAACAACTATTAATCAATAGTTCATTGGCATTGTTCTCGATTTTTTAAGACACACGTGACATATTCAATTATTCATCCTTGAATTAAATTTTGCGCTTCATCATTTCCTAAACAGTTATAGCTGAACCCATAGCAGCTTGATTCATTTTAAAGAGAAAACACAGAAAGGCAATGGAGAATATTATTGTTATGATATGGGTTTTCTTAATGTTGCAAATTGGGCTTAATAGAGGTCTAGACAAGTTTCAGTTCCAAATGGATGATACGTTGCAAGGATTTAAATGTTTGGATGAAAGAAAAACATTTGAGATGGTAAGCGGTAAATCAGCATGTGCACTCAGATGTTTGATGGACCTTGTTTGTTCTAGTATAATATACTATCCTGATACGGGCAATTGTACGGGCTGTACTTCCTTCACCGGAGAAACTGATCCTTCACAAAGCAACTCGGTATTCTACAAAAAACGTGGATGTAAGTAATCTTGTTTCAGATGTTTTTGTCTCAGTTATAGAAGAAGAAAAGAAAGGTATTGTTTTGAATTATTCCAAAAATTGTTTTATCTCACAACCTTGTCCTCGAAGTCAAGAATATTTTATTTTCCCTTTATTTAAACTTTGTGAGATTCCTTTTCAGTTTAAAATTAAAAATACCCTCAGATATTTACTATTTGTAATGTTAGCGTTAAAATGTTTGAATAAATATTTCATGTTTAAGGAATTCGCTGAATATGACAGACACAAAAATGTCAACTATGGAATTAATTTTTCTTTTGTTGAAAACAAAATTGTGTTAGCTAAAAGATGTTTACTAAATTACCGCCATTGTAAACAAAGGAAAAGAAAGAAAATTAAACTAGTACACAGAATTGAAAGAAATTAATAAATTCATATTCTTATGTTTTGAGTTATCTGCCGTGAAAGTGTGTAAATTTGCTATTTAAATGAATTTAACGATAGCAGATAGTACACAACTGTGAAAAGCAACATGTAATTAGATTAAAAAATTCGTGATGTAACTTTATTCCAAATTTTATGCGACATAATTAGCTCTGTAGTTGCTTTAACAGAGGGTCGAACGTATAGCGGTGCGCTACTACTTTAAGCGAGGTAAAATCATGCGATACATACTAATGGCGGATTTATTCGTGCTTGTAAACACACGTCAGAGTGAGTGTATTTTATAAATTACTTCATAAATCTCCGATTTCAATTGCATATTTTGTATTGAAGATGACAAGGTAGGACCGGCACACATGTCATCAAAATAACAGAGGGTTAAATTTATAATGTAGGTAAACTGACGGCAACTGATTTTGTGTCGGTGAATAAAATTGCTTAAAACAAGCTTATATTAATATAGTTAATTTATTCTACAAATCATAATCATAATTGAGTAGCATAACAAGTAACTTTGTGATCCGATATACATAGACGCTTACTGGTCAAACTATTTAAGTGTACGCTGGGTTTGGGTGCGATAGATTAACTGTACACTGTTAAAGGTTCGACCTTTTTTCATTATCACATCTGCTGTATACATTTCCCTATGATTACAATAAGAGATCTACCTTATATGTGTCCGTTTCCGGATTTCTGAAAAAAAAAATATCTTCTTCTTTCTTGTAGCATTAACTTCAAATAAGAATTTCGTATCACCATCGATATAAGTGTTACTTTTAATTATAATTTTGTCATCTCTCAATTTTAACAAAGTTCATAGTTATTGTATCTTCATTCCAAATTTTTTCCGCCCTTTTCAACAACAAGAGTCTTGTTTTTGTTCTGTATCTTGTTTGTAATTTATTTTTTCTTTTGATCATGGAATTTGTGTTTAGTTTTCTATTCCTTCTGAAGTCTAATTTATTACTGAAGAATCTACGCAATTTGATTTTGTAGTTTATTTTCCATTTTTGTTCATCTATGATATGTCTGACTTTTGATTTTGCTCTTTATATTGACAAGGCAACACTGTATTCCTAAAAAATATTTCGAGCTTATTAAATAAGCGCTTTTCGCGTTGAATACATTTCTGAGAATGTTTGTATCCGCAAAAAAGTCACATGTAACAAACCAGCGAATACATTGCATTGATGATTTTTCAATGATTTTTTTAAACTTTAACTTGCCACTTAGCCAAGAAAACACAGCATTCACACACATTTATAAAGGCACTAGCTTGCATGTGATATCAACAGAAGCATGTTAAAGGACTCTTTAGGAACGTAAAATATAGTTAAACAGTATATTCCACTACTCGACAGTCAGATTTATTTGTGTTCTACGCTGTATAGTATTTGGTAATCGACATCGCTAAAAAAAGCATTTCATTGCTTAAAATGATATTCATCCGCGTAATTTGTAATTATGCATTTATTGACAATTCTTTAAGCAAGCGCTATTTTGGAACTTTGAATGTGTTGTAATTTGTTGGAAACTTGTAACAAAATAAAAATATATATTTCTGTTACATCGCTAGATTTAAGCTGTTTTGAGCACTTCTTGTTGTAAGGTCTGTCATGAAATTCTGTGCCAGAGATTGAATGTCTTCATTGTATTTCCTGATCTGCGTTCAGAAATACAAAAATGTGCGGTATGCTTTTTTACTCTTTAATGCATTGAAAGTATTTTTTTGATAGAATTGTTTCCCGACTTTCATTGTTTTTGAATTATGCAAAGTAAACGAAATTTCTCTAAATTAGTTTAAATTTTCTGTTTCTGCCTATGTTTACTTTCATCATCAGTCTATGTAAAATGCAGTACCATTTTCTAATATACTAAATTGATGGCAAATTATTGTTATATTTTTGGATGGATTTAGCTCAATACATCGGTTGCTACAACCACGATCCCAGGTTTCTGGCTGATATGCACAATTCCTCAAGTCAATCAACAGAATACTGTCTTACCCTTTGTCGAAACAAGGGATTACCCTTTTCAATGACTGAAGTAAGTTGTTTTCGTGAATTTATATTGAATTTGAAATTTCTATTAAAATGTAGATTCAAGAACTTTAGATATATCCTGACACTTGTAACATTTTAAAAATTGTACCTTAAAAGAAATGTTGAGATTCATATTATTTCAAAATAATTTCTATTAAATGAAATAAATTGTAGGTCTTTTCTATTTTTTATTTATTTGATTTATTGTCTTTCGTAGGGAAAATGTTTTGACATTTATTTTTAACAACCTTGTTTATAGAGTTTATGCATTAATGTCGGACGCAATTCAATAAGCATTTAGAAACATTCAACCATTCTACGGTAACATTTCAACCAATGAATAATTCAATATCAGATTCAGCAATGTTGTTCTTATTAAAGCTCCATGCCTCCAGATGAGTCAAAATATTTCAAGAAAATTAAACTTGAGAAAAATGTACCAAATATTTTTGATTAAGTAAAAAGATTTAAGATTCAAGGAGTAATTTATATGTTATGTGCGATTAAGCACTGATTCTTCAGTGTAAATATAAATATTTCTTCTGCGTTACTTACGCAGTAAGGGCTATGTTTGCTTTTTTGACCACTTCATGATTATTTACATTGTACGTGGATTAAAGTGTTATTTGCAATGTATAACTTATTTTTATGGTAGGCTGCTTTAAGGGAGTCCGCAGATTATTTCAGAACATCATCGCTGAAATACATTATTCGGTGACTATTTATATTTGATTAATATCGTTTATCGACCTTTTAATATAACTAAAACTATTCTAGAATGAAGAAAAAAAACTCGCTTCAATGCCGAAATTTGGGTTGCTAACACAAAGCGTATATAGTGTAAGATTTAAACTTTTTAATGTAAGTCTATCCATTCTTTTACAGATGTCTATATTTAAAATATCTTTTCAATTATAAAGACGAATAATAATTCAAAATTTCTCCATCTTACAATTCATTCATCGATATTTAAGTATGGCTACGCATGCTGGTGCGGTGCAGATATAAATTTCGCCATCGCTGAGAAGATACCAGAGTCGAGATGCAACACGGATTGTGAAGGTAATACGAGCCAGAAATGTGGAGGCTTCTACGCTGGTTCTCTATACAGGACTGGAGTTTAGGAAGGTAATATGACTTATCTAATACTGTAGAAATCCATCTCAATATTAACATGTCTAATTTAAAAAGGTTTTATTATTTATCAGCAAAACTTTTCAGATCTAACAATAAGGAAATTGTTACTTCAAAATACGAACACTTCCAGTTACTTCAAAACAGAAAGAGTCGGCATTATTAAAAATGCAAATGGCCATAAAATTTAAGTATATATTAGAAGTAGTTTAAATATTGTACCCCGATCGGTAAAAGAAATTGAGCTTGATTTATGTGACACTTTGAATCGTGCTATTCGGATAACATTGGACACCGACACATGATGGTATGTAATTATATAATAATAAAAATAAGAGAATTATTATCAGACAGAGTGTGAAATTATCTTATAAAAAGCAATAGAAACAATAAATACAGGCAAAAGATGAATAGAAATAAACCCTTAATAAAATAAAGAACAACAAAAATGCTAAAAGCAGCAGCTGGCACATGCACATGTTAGTTTAAACATATTTTATTTAGCAAATTTACAAGCATGTATCAATTTATATGTAATAATGCATGTTTGTAACGTCACTTTTTCATTGGATAGTGTAGTGTAACGCCCAGATCTGAATAACTCAATATTAATAAGTCAACTCAATATCAAGTTTTTGGCGGCTCGGGTTATATTTTCAAACGCCGTTTACATAGGGCCATATAACCTGTCAAAAATCTTTATACTTTATAATATACACGGCCACTGTCAATTTTCTAAGACATCTCCCTTTTTTTCAAAAAAAAACTTGCTTTATTATAAATTCGATATAAATATTCATATCAGGCTATATGTCAAAAATCTATATAACTAATACTGTTATAGGTAAACACGCTCAAACGCTGTTCATTCAATAATTCTGAAAAAAACCCTGAGGGAATGAATGAACACAAGTTTTTAGTACAGATCAATAAGTGTAAACATCTCGAAAAATCATGTCAAAGCCCATAGTTGAGTCTCTTTATATTATGTTTTATAATACGTAAATCTTCAACTTGCAGCCAAGTGCCACGTACTTTATTTTTAGTATTGTTATCTTTTTAGTCGTTTGGAATTTTAATTGTTGAAAATTGAGTACCGCTGAAACCAATGACAGGGTACATAAGGGATATTGCACTTTTTCATTATCTCACATGTACAGACTCAAACAAACCGAGTCCGCAACGTTTTTGTAATTTAATTTTGAGTAATGCCCTCGAGAGATCACTCTTTTTCCAGATTTTGTAATTATTTTATGTGCTTTATTTCTAGGTAGAGATAGTTGTTAAAGAAGAAAGAATTTACATCATGAACATCATGAACATCTTTGTGCCTTTTCTCATGTGAATTTCAACACTTCTATTGAAACAAAATAAATAGAGAAGTAACGAAAACAGCAATCAGAATATACCGGGGTATACTTAAAAAGCCAGAATCATTCCAAACTATCAAAATTTTCTTGCAGACTTTCATGTATGGTATCATTTACTAAACACGGGCATCTTTTTACAGGTTATTATCATGGTTTGTTTTGAAAGAATACTTAAATAAGATAGATGTGTTTAAATTTCGAATTGCAATAACAAGATTCCGATTGTCAGCAAGCAGATTATCAAATTGAAACAGGCCGATGTCACAAACCAAATAAAATACCTAGAAATGAAACAAAATGCTATGTATGCAAAACTCTTGAAGACGATATTCATTTTCTATTGGAGTGTAGTGTATATAAAACTTAAAATAATATAGATTGACAAATATTTTTGGAAATATCTTAATATATTGTCAAAATGTATTGAACGTATGTAAACAGAAAGTAAATATACACTTTTAATATACGATTAGCAACTTTTGTATTTAAATCTTTCAAATCGAGAAATCAGATGTCATTTCAAACCTATCATTTCTCCTTACCATGTCAGCAGTGACAATGTTATTTTTCCTCCGTTTTCTATATGGTTTGCATATATGTATGTAAAAATTGTAACCTGATCATTTTTTATTTTTCTGATGCTTGAACAGCCACCATTGGCTTATTGTTTTGCAGATTGTATAAGAGTTGTGTACTGTGTAAACTCATTGGTTGTAACCTTTTGCTTAATAAACTATCTATCTATAATTACAACACATGTGCAGACTTACTTTGTTGTCAGTCATTAAAATGTGCAGAGAGGAAAAAATAAGATTTTCAACAAAAAAAAAAAAAAGTAGAAAAAATATATGTATTGTCCTTTCACAACGAAACATACAGCAATAGGGTATATCATTTTTTTCAGTTCAAAATATCTCTCGATTTGCTACAGGAAAGCACCAAAAGTGTTTAAATTTGCTACAAAGTTTTAATATTGTAATTGACTATGACTACCTGATTGTAAATTATTTAAAACAAATCAATAGAAACGTATTATAAACGTTCATATTTAGAATTGATTTATCCATTAATTGTTTGAGCCACTTCTCAAACCCACGACAGCCCGGAAAGTAAAGTTCTGTTATCTCACATCAAGAGAGGGCATAACATTGAAGAAAAATTAATCATTAGATTCGATATATTAGGTAAAAGGTATGAAGATTGAAATATCAAAATTAAATCATAAACGTATTTTTTTAAGGAACTTCGAATAAAAAAATGATCTAAATCAAAACTAATTTATCACAACTTATAGTAATTTTATGGATTTAAAAGAAAACCCTGTTTTATGTAGAATTACATTTTGATAACAATATAGTACTATTTCTGATGTTAAAATAAAGCAAATGATAATATAATGCAATTTTACGTTGAAATAAAACGTGTGATTGCTGGGGCAATCCAGTCGAAATGAATAACGAGATTAATCGGAAAAATTTCCTATGATTAAGGCGGAATCAAAAACATACATGTAACAAGAAAAAGAAAATTGTTAAAATGATTAACCTAACCGATGGATTATAATGTAATTTTTATGGTTTTGTACAGAAATAAATAGAAAATTAAGTTGTTGTGAACACGTTCGTTCATACCTTTAAGGGTGCCATACATTAAAAAGAATGGAACGTTTTTATCGGCTTACAATAACACACCCATTTTTCTAGATTTTGCACACGCAACTAAGCAAAATGAAACAGTTCTAATTCGTATAGGTGTTTGGTTAGTTTATAGCACAAAAAAGATTCCTTTTTATGAACAATTACAAGAAATGCATTTGCCAAAACAATATACATAAAGCAAAGAATAGTCAAACACACATTGCACCTCAGTGATCGACTGGAAATTTATTGAATAAAATTTACCTTCATTTTATTGTAGTAAAACGTATATTTTGTGTTTTGATTTTAGTTATATTTGCACCTATATTACGTCTCACAGCTTCCTGTTAATAATTGAATATAATGTGTGGCGATGTCCTACATGCTCCACATTTCATAGTTAAAATTGATTTACTCTTTAAAAAGGATTGGCTACGTAACGGTGTCTGAATGAGTAAGTAAGTTGCAGTTTAAAGGCACATTATGCCTCAAAAGTATTTTTGTCTATTAACATTATAAAAATTCTCAACATTTTTGCCGATAACTGTTAAAATTTATATGTCTTTGATATTTGTCAACTTTTGATATATAACTGTTTAATGTTGCAACCTATTTAATTGTTGCTGTACACCATTAAGATACACATTCCTGAAGTGTCATTCCATTCTCTAAATTCTGAATTGTTTTCTTTTAGTTTTTGTTTAAAAATAATGGTGTTTTATTGTTCGTGACAGAAAACAATGCATGCCATTGGCGTCTACAACTTCAACTTTGAAGAATGGTCAGACTTTTTACCGTAAAGTGTACTATTTGCCCCCAAATCTGAAGCATATCAAATTGAAATATGATATTTAAGAAAGAACAAGACAAACAAGTAATACACTTACACTTTTTTTTTTTTGTATTTGAATGTTTCCCCAAAAATAATAATGTTTTAAGCTCATAAACACAGATCCCCAAATGATGTGAAAAAAGGGAAAATACTTAAATCTTTTATAAAATTTTTCCCTATTACCCGTTGAAAAATATAAATTTGAAAACCCCTTTAAAATTTTCTTCATGTTCTTGGTATATGCTTGTTGTTAAATAATTAAGTTGAATATTTTTGTGAAAGAGTAGAACCTAATGCATAATTCACAAAGTAATGCAATGTCTGAAATTCTGAAATGTGTGTCTGTTGCAACAACGATTAAAATGTCTGGGCAAAGTAAAATAAATTGGATATAAAGTAAAACTGAAATGATTGGTAAACCTGAAATAAATTTTAGACAAAGACAGAGGTAAAGAAAAAATATTTCCGTCCGTTGCGCCGAGAATATGTCCAATTAAATATTGATGCGAATTGCATATCGTTCGTATGATTTTAAGGACGAACCGTTCTATTATTTCAATCTAGAAATGTGTCCATAGGACACGTGTGCCCCCACCGCGCCACTGTTCTGTCAATCTTTTGACTCTAGGTCAAAATTTTTTTGAAAACTAAAAATCTTTTACTAAGGAAATGGCAAGAACTTTACAAATACTGAATAAATCCACAAGCAAATCCCAAGGTGCATAAGTACACATGCTGACCAACATTCTTGTAAACTTTCAGGCCTACAAGTGAAATACTTTTTGAGCTATGCATGAACAAGTTGAAAATTGCAAATTTATACAACTGTAAGTCAAGAGTAATAACTCAAACAGAACTGAAAAATATCCATATGCAAAGTCCCAGGTGCATAGCTTCACAGTAATGTGAATCATTATTCCAATATTTTAGTGATGTTGATCATTATTCCTGTAAAGTTGGTTGATTCTAACTCAAGCACTCAAGGAACAAATAACAACATTATGAAACGGTTTGTACTAAGTCAAGGGCAATAACTCTACAAATACTGGATAAATCCACAAGCGATACCCCAGGTGCAAAACTAAATATGCTGAGCAACCTTCCCGTAAGGTTTAATGACTCTATGTTAAATCCGTTTTGAGTTACATGCGACACGGGTTGAAAATTGCAAAATTTTACTAGGTCAAGGGCAATAACTCTAAAAATAATAAAAATATCCAGACTAAAATACCCAGGTGCACAACTACACATGCTGATCAATATTCCTGTAAAGTTTCTTGAGTCTAGATCAAATACTTTTTGAGTTACATGCGACACAAGTTGAAAATTGCAAAATTTTACTAAGTCAAGGGCAATAATTCTAAAAATACTTAAAATATTCAGAAGGAAATACCCAGGTGCACAACAAAACATGCTTATCAACATTTCTGTAAAGTTTCATGACTCTAGATTAAATACTTTTTGAGTCACATGCGACACAATTTGAAAATTGCAAAATTTTACTAAGTCAAGGGCAATAACTCTAAAAATACTAATTATATCCAGACGAAAATACCGAGGTGCATAACTACACATGCTGATCTACATTCTGTAAAGTTTCATGTCTCTAGGTTAAATACTTTTTGAGTTACATGCGACACAAGTTGAAAATTGCAAAAGTTTACTAAGTCAGGGGCAATAACTCTAACAAGAGCTGTCGGTAGGACAGCAACGCTCAACTATTCTTAGTGCTTGGTAGTAAAAAAATGCTTTATACAGTAACCTCCTCCTGTTTACAGGTTGGGGTCATGATGGTGAACAAGTGTGCAAAGTTTCAAAGCCATATGTCAATGGACTTTGAAAATATTTGAACTATTACAAAAACTTGAACATAAATTCTAAGTTGAAAAAGGGGCATAATTCTGTCAAAATGCTTGATAGAGTTACCTCCTCCTGTCTACAGGTTGGGGTCATGATGGTGAACAAGTGTGCAAAGTTTCAAAGCCATATGTCAATGGACTTTGAAAATATTTGAACTATTACAAAAACTTGAACATAAATTCTAAGTCGAAAAAGGGGCATTATTCTGTCAAAATGCTTGATAGAGTTACCTCCTCCTGTCTACTGGTTGGGGTCATGATGGTGAACAAGTGTGCAAAGTTTCAAACCCATATGTCAATGGACTTTGAAAATATTTGAGGTATTACAAAAACTTTAACGTAAATTCTAAGTTGAAATAGGGGCATAATTCTGTCAAAATGCTTGATAGAGTTACCTCCTCCTGTCTACAGGTTGGGGTTATGATGGTAAACAAGTGTGCAAAGTTTTTAAAGCCAAATGTCAATGGACTTTGAAAATATTTGAACTATTACAAAAACTTTAACATAAGTGGTTACGCCGACGCAGACGCAGACGCCGACGCTCGGGTGACTACAATAGCTCTACTTATTCTTATCGAATAGTCGAGCTAAAAATACTGAAAATATCCAGACGAAAATACCCAGGTGCACAACTACACATGCTGATCAACATTCCTGTAATGTTTCATGACTCTAGGTCAAATACTTTTGAGTTTCCTGCGACACAAAAGAGAACGGACGGGTGGACGGATAAGGGTAAATCTAAATGCCCGCCACTTAAGTCGGGGCACAAAAAGCAAAAATATGTCTGTAATATCAAATAATAGTTATGAATAAATTGTGAAAGAAAAAATCAATTCTTAGTAACGTTTTGTTTACTTTTTATTATAAGATTAAACTACTTGATTGAACACAAGGAATTTTGGTATAA